CCCCCACAGCCTCTGTGCCCCCTGCTCCCCACTCGCCCTGCAGCCTCTGCACCCCCCCCCCACAGCCTCTGTGCCCCCTGCTCCCCACTCGCCCTGCAGCCTCTGCACCCCCCCGCAGCCTCTGTGCCCCCTGCTACCCACTCGCCCTGCAGCCTCTGCACACCCCCGCCCCCCCCCCCGCAGCCTCTACACACACACACACACCCTCACCCGGCAGAGGGAGAGCTGCAGGCTCCACGTTGACTCAAACACTTCCTCGCTGCTCTGTGGGGGAGGAGGGAGCGGGGGAGGGACTCTGGCTGCTAGAGGCCCTAGTGGCTGCGAGCGGGTTTCAATCAGGCCAGGCATCCAATCAGCCACGCCGCACTCCGCAGGAGGGGAAATCCCGGACATTTCTAGTTCATTAGAAATCCCCCCCAGACGGCCATTTAAGGCTGAAAAAGCCGGACATGTCCGGGGAAACCCGGACGGATGGTAACCCTACAGATAACACTGGTCTGAGTATACAATATTTCAACTTGGATCAGCAACAGATTTAAAGACTCCTCTTTGGTGAATTTCAGGGCTAAAAATATGCTTCAGACTGCCTTGTATAACTGCAAATCTGGGAACTTGTCTTTTCAGTAGTATAAGGTTTTCTCAGTGCTGAGGAAGCCAGAACAGAATACACATCAGAGGGATTATCCTTTCATAGGGTGCATCCTGATCATGGGAGTCCTCCCACCTATCCGGCATTGTAACAGCCATGGCCATTCAGTCCCCACCCTCTTTGGGGAATCTAGCATTGCTAGTAGGGTTTTGACTCTCCCAGGCACTCCATTTTACCATTGACTACAAGAGAATAGGCCTGTTTAATTTACTACAATTGCCTATATATTTTTCAGATTAAAGTAGCATAAATCCTCCTGGGGAATGGATCTGGAGTAGGTATGCTGTGTTGGCCATTTTATTTTTTGAATGCACAACAAAATAATTGTGCCTGACTTTTGTATTATTTCTTAATTATTTTTTTCAGACAATTGTGCAGAAGAAATAGTCATGTGAGGCTGCTTCAGCCAGTGAAATCTTGGTGAAATAAGAGCAGTGTAATAAACATAAATCATAGAAATCACAAACCACAATTTTATTACTGCTTTTCTAGAGCAAATTCTAGAAATTTCCCAATATTGAAGGCAAAACTAAGTAATGAAACTCCTAAATCAATCCTTTTAAAATTCTGCTCAATGTTTCTGCTCTGCAGAGCTGACACGAGCTGTATGCAAATGATTTTGCTGAGGGCAAAGGAATGCTTCATCATTAACAAGCATGACCCTTCTCTCTCTGATCAAAATGTAAAACATATGGCCCTTGATGTTATAGACTGTGATTGTGACCAATACAATGCATTGCTCCTGAAGAGTAGGGATAGTGTCTCTTGACACAATTTTATATTAAAAAGTAACATGATCATTAATTGTATCCACTGACACAGCAGAAATATTCCTGAAATTAATATTTCTTTAATATGACAGAGGTTGTTTTTTAAACGTTTCATGTTTAAAATACAAATCAGACATAGGGAAAATCCAATTATTGTGAAATATTTTGTCTCCGACTTGCTTTCCCTGTGGTCCTTCTGGTTTATGTTAGCTTGGGTGAAACCGCTCAAGTCAAATTTTGATAGTTATTGTATGAGCAGTGAATAATAGGGTAAACCTAGCTCTTGCTTGTGCTATGTGGGCTCTTATTCTCAAATGCTCCGTTCCCCCCCACTAAATTATTACTGTTTGCTAAAATGTAGTTAGTCTTTAATAGGATAATACATCTTAATATAGTATGAAAATATGAAGAAATAAGAAACAAATCTCCAAATCACCCTTTCTGTTCAAGGCCAGCCAATAAAAGTGTTGCGAAAGCAGAGTTGTTACAACAGACATCCTCTTATGTTGGAGCTGATGGAGGTAGCATAGAAAGCTCCTGTAAAAATTAATACTTCTGACTGTGTGGGGCCTGATATTTTGTGGCCTATGGAATTTTTTCAAAACAGAAAACCCCACATTTTTAAGCACAGTCACAGTTAAGATAACCTCACCTTCAGGTCCGGTGAGGCAAAGCACTGAAGTACACATGTCACTTAAGCAATGAGTAACCCCATTTTCATATCAGTGGGACTAATCACTTGCTGATAATCATGCCCACATTTAAGTGCTCCTCTACACTGCGGTCTCATAAACCCATTTCCACTACATAACACCAGATGCTATATCTAAAGTTTTGATATTCTTTAATTTTCTTTTTCTTTACAGGTAACCCGATAGCTAAAGACAACTCAAGTCTATCTCAAGGCTGATAATGCTAACATAACAGGAATTTCATACCTCCCTCCAGGCAATCCTTGAAGTGAGTTTACACTGCTGGGGTATATTGGCTTGTAATCAGCAACAGCTTGAGATCAAAACTACTGGAAAGTCATTGTGAACTTTTTTGTCACAGAGATTTCAACTGATTGAACTATGTACACTTACAAAATTGCACTTGCTGAGGAATTTATGGCTGCAATCTAAAGCGGTGATGCTCAGAGGGTGTAGAAGAGGCAGCAATCTTTCGGGTTCTCCATTCCAGACTGACGGCTTTTCATCTTTACAAAAGCAGTCTTCGAAATGTACTGGTTCTTTCACTCTGAAATGTTCCCTGGTTCTATGTACAAATTGCTGGTGGGACTGCACGCTACTTTAATCAAATTTATGTTGCAGAACTTGTCCTCTGGCATAGCGCAATTTTAGACATTTTTATTTGTATTTCTAATCTTGGATCTCTGAAAGGCTACATGTTTCAACATCTTGAAGTTGCTTTTGTTATAGGAATGGAAATATATATCCATCGTTAATAATTATTGTTGACAAGTAATAGTTATCGGAATACATCAATCATATAAGAATGTATAGCCAGCCTGACATGTTTCCCTAAGGCTAACCAACTACTGTAGCTCTTTGGCAGTTTCATTATAAGTATTTTATACCTTTAAAAATATACATTTCCATTTAGTTTGAAGATGATGGGTGTTTCTGGTATGTCCTTTACTTTCTTAACCTTAAGTCCTTTCAAGTTGACAGTAAGCAGTAAATGACATTAGCTAGTCCCTTTTTGTAAAGGTAGACAGGGATGCATGCAAGTTTTACAATTCTGAGATTGGATGGCATTCATTCAGAGTTTCTTTTATTTATTTTTTTAAACTATCTCTTGCTTGAACACAAGTACTATCTCGACGCTTATGTAGATGTCTGCTCAGTCTGTTAATAGAGGAAAAAAATCTTTCCCCCCAAATCTGAAGTTCATAAATGTTTTGCTTATAGTTATCCAGTCCCGGTCTTCTGGGACTTTCCATAGTCATTTCCCCTAATTAACATTTATTTTCCTATTTTCTATTTCTGTAGCAATTTTTTGTGATGTACTGTTCTATGAAAACCCTTAATATTTAAAGGCCTTAAACATATATGAATTTTGTTTCTAAGTTATTACAGAATGTATAATTTTATACTCCATTTAATATATTCAGTACCACTGGTAATACTAAGACAAAGGAACCCTGATAATTCATTGTTGTACTGTATTGATGCTGCATAAGCATGCTGACCGGAGAGAGAGAGTGAGAGTTAGATAGTATGCTTTATTGTCTAAATAGAGTCAAAGACCACAGCAACTCAGACCTAGTGAAAATAATTGTGTGGGCAGTCTCATTCAAATGGCCTGCATGGTTACCGGAATGTTAAAAAAAGCGGGGGGAAGTCCTTTTATAGTTACAACCCATTGACATGGCTAATTAGATATAAATTGGGTTCCATGATGGATGAACACACTGGAGTGCTCTGGTTAGTCACAGTATCCTAGGCTCTTCCAAGATTATTTCATTAAACCTCCCGTGTTATTGCACAGGAGAGCTAAAAATTAATGATTGTTGGGAATAATTTGAGATGTACATTTCATCATTCTGCTGAGAAATAATCAAAAATGTTGCCAGGGAAAGATATTCTTTTCTGATTAAAATTTAATTTGGATAAACTGTAGCACCACTAGCTATCTCAGATTTTTCAAATGCATTAATATTGTATGGATTTGTGCTAAAAGAGCATCTTAAGGAGAAAAGTAATTCCTTTGTTTGGAACAGTACCAATTATAAATGTGTTATTTTGTAGAATATGAGTTTGGCCTTAATTTGATCAAAATACTGTATCATGCTTCTCAATATTTGTTTCCTTTGACTTTGTTCTCTGAATCAACACTGAAAATACTGTATTATATACAAGTGTAACACATGCTTATCAATAGGTGAAAATAAATGGATTTTCAAATATACTGAATAGATTATCTGCAGTAGATTAATGTTGTGACTATTCATAACAAGTGAATAAAATTGTGATATCAAATTGACTCCCCTGTATGGATATGCACTTAGAAGATTGGTTCCTTTTACCCATAGAGCAAAGGTTTTTATACCCAGTGGAAAAGAAGATCATGGACTATATTAATTTCATGTTTCCTTAGAAAATCTTGGAGCAAATTCTACCTTTTTAAATTTTCAGAAGGAAGGAGTTTGAAGAGATATTTTAGCATTGTTTTCTATAACACATACTGTCATGTTTCAAACGATAAATATTAGAGTTGAGCAAAATTCAGAGTTACCATCCTGTGGGAAACTCTGACATACAAGCATTTGGTTTTGGGACAAAATATTAAAAAATTTTCACAGAAGGGAAATTCTGAAAAAAAAAAATGATTTGGACATTTTTGACCAAAACAAAGCATTTAGCCATTACCAAAAAGAAAATATGTTTGTTTTGTTCTGTTGTACTGACCTGAAACATTTTGTTATGAGTCAGTTAAACACTAAACTGCATTACCTCATGGGAGTTGTAGTTCAGGAGCCTGGTGCCCCCATTTTCCCTTATGGACCAGGCTACATGGTTGGTCCATATCTCCAGAATCATGTGACTCACACAATGCATCTTGCAGCTCAGTCAGAGGGAAATCTAAATTGCATTATGGAAGATGGAGTCCTCCAAAGAGCCTAGCCATATGAAAGAATTGGGACCCAAACTATAACTCCCATAAGGCAACATTCTGATAGGAAAATGCAGCTTAATGGTTTGTTGAACTGATTCAAAACAAAATATTTTGGGTCTGTTTGACAAAATTAAATATTCCAATTTGTGTCAAACTGATCTGAAATTAAATACTTCATTTCTATTTTCCTGATAGAAAATGTAAATTTTCAGGAAAATCTAATTTTTCCTGCATCAACTTTATTTTTCTGTCTGAAAAACATTTCAACAGAAAATTCCCAGCCATCTCTAGTAAATATGAAATAACACTTAAAAGTATTGCAAGCATATGTCTTGTTAGTGTGTTGAATGTTAATCAAGTCAAATATTGCTACTGCTGCTATTGCCATTTTTAATAGCACTGTAACCATTTGTTTCAATATTCTAGCCCAAGCAGCGACTCTGATTGAGACTCAAGGCAGTAAAGATCCATCCACTTTCATTGTGACACCACACTTAATTCAATGCAACTTTTTCTGTATAGTATCTTTCACATAATCTCAAGATGCTTTACATCATTACACAAGATGCATAGAACAATTTTGTTTTGAAACTAAAGTTTATTATAATGTATATTATTTTGTAAGTGATCTGTCAAGTATTTGCATAATCATAAATGCATATGCATTTTTGTTAACAGGTTGTGATTATATAGCTATAATTTAACATACTGACATCCACAGGAATACAGATAGAAAACACTAAACTATGATTGACATCTATTCTGTGAATTTACTGTCTTATTCCTCGGCCTGAAATTATTGTACATCAGCTGCTAGCCAAGATACTGGCAAGTGGAACATGGTTTTGATTTGCAATGCTAATATCATCTTAATCTTTTTTGTTTTCTTGCTAATAGTTAAATCTCTTGAGCTCTGCATCAAAAATGTCACAAGTAAACAATCTGATGGAATTAAATAGTTTTTCATAATTTCAGTGCTATTAAATGGCACTATGAACATTACCTAATCACAGCTGTCAGGCTTCACAATTCAGTTCTCCTCCTGGAAAACACTTAATGTTTGTTCTTTCATGGTATTAGAAAATGTTCCCAAATTACATCTTTAAAGTCATTTATGAGAGCTTACAAAAGCGATCTGCTGCCACTTCACAGGCAGTTGGTCTAAATATTTTAGTGAAAATGTCCTCCTTGGCTTTCTGTTGTACAACTTCTATGTTTGCTTGAACCACTTACGTGCTGATTACAAAATGTGATACACGAAAGATCTGAATTTTCTGTTACATCTTTCTGACAGCCGATGACACATGTTGCCAACATCTCTCAATGCAAAGAGAAGCTTAAGATTGTCTGACAAGAAAACTGTTTCCAGGGACATATCAAATATTATTAGTATGTTCTCTCTCTCTGTCTTTGTCCCTCAGATCTCTGTGAAATGGGCTCCCAGGGGCAGCAGTAGCCAGAGGAAGCCCTGGTAGTTCAGCTCCACCACTAGAGCTGCTGGGGACATAGGACTAGTATGGCAGTGTAAGAGATCTCCAATAATCCTAACCTCCCACTTATCAGCAAGGTCTGTATGGAACTGTGTGGTTCGGAGGGTGGATCCCATTGTGAGGTGGTGGGGAATTTTGTTCCACTAACCAAAGGAACAATGTGCACCTGGGGTCTGATCCAAACCCTATTGAAGTCAATGGAAAGACCCCCACTGACTTTTTTGGGGGATCTGGGTGAGATCCTCAATGGGAGTTGAGGGTGGCCAGCCTCTTGCAGGATAAGGCCTGTAAGACCTATTTCAGCAAGGTAATTAAGGACATACTTAACTAGAAGCATGTGACTAGTCAGTGAAGTGCCCTGTGAACTTTTGGGCTAGTGTGCTATGGAAAACTGGTAAATTCCTTTTCAAGTTATTTTCCATTTCTTCCTATTCTCTCTACATCACGCACTGAAATGTTTGCCGGTAGTGTGGATAGAATCAAAATAGAAGTCGTCATATTTGTTTATTGATTGTCATTAATATTTGCAGATAAAACATCATTCATCAGATCAACCTCAGCAGTGATCTAAGGACTTGCAGCCAGAATCAGGTGCATTTCTTCACTACATAGTACTGGGAACTATTCCACGTAATGTCAGTACATTTATAAGGCATTTTCATACTTTCAAAACTTTACTTAAAAAACAAATAGGCCTTTGCTGTTAAATCAATGAAGGTACCAAATCATCTGTTCTGCTTTTATGGATGGAGACACAATAGATATGGCTCATAGGCCAGGAGGGGTAGAAGGAAGGGAGTGCCATTTTGATAGCTTAGTCCCATTATTTCCCTTTCTCTCAGATCAGATGGGCCCCAAAATTAAGGATCTACATTTGGGAAAGGGGCAGGCCCAGTGGAATTTGCATCATCCCACCACCAACTCATACAGGAATCCTCACAAAAGTTAATATGGAGCCACAGTTAAGTTGTTTATTGTTACAGCCACCTATCCCTCCATGCAGGCAACACACTTTAGGGTCAGTTCTGGGGAAGGACCTGGCTAGAAAGTCCCTGGCAAGCTAATACCAGAGCTGCTCTGCTGAGGAGGGGGCTGGTGGTACCATGGGAAGTGCAGAGGCATAAAGCCTCTGTGTGTGAAAAGCCCTGAGCTCTGATGGTGAATCCTTGAAAATCTGCAGGATGAGGGGATAAACTCCCTGCATATTTGATGGGCTGGGGAGAGGCAAACCCTGACCTCCCAGTATAGAGAGGGAATTCTGCAAGTGAATCTCCTTGAGCTTCCAGAAGCCTACATTGTTTTGTCTAATGTAGCATCATCACTGATAACTTTTCTAGTTTAGACACCATTTTCTCTGTGGGACTATGGCTTCTGATGCCTGACTACTTGATACCTGCAGTTGAGTAAATGTGATGAAAATACTTCACTTTTGCTGTTCTGATGGAGCATTTTTCTGGATTTAACTTGACTCCTCCCCCCCTTTAGATCCCTGGAGCATGGTAGGTAGAGTGGCATCAAGTTCTTCCATAATTATTCAAAGACTATAAATATAACATCTTCACTGTCTTAAATCCGTGAAACTCAATGTTGGTTTTGTACACTATCTCTTGAAAAACACGTCTTGGGCTGAATGAATATCAAATGGTAACCCAGAGAACTAGTTTCTCCCTTGTGAAATATTAAAATATGGGAAGCATTGAACTTCCTTAGTCCAGATTTATCCACCATGGCCCTGATGTGGTATCTAGAGCACCAAAGAAATGCATAACAGCTGATTTTCTGATACATCATCAGAGAGAGGTATCTGATAATCTTTTCTCTTCCTGTTTTGGTAGGTTCTGGCACCATTATCTGTTTAGAAGGAAGTGCCAGTGTTTGGAACTAAAGAATATAACTCCCGTGCCCCTTTACTGATGTGGAGTTCAATTTTTTCCTCTTTATTCCTTTTTTTTGTCTCCTTTTATTTTTTTTCTTGTGCTGGGATTCATCCAGTTCTGACAAGATGGCTCATTGTGTGCAGGCAGGAACTAGGATCACGGAGAAATCGGAGTGGTGGTTAAAGAGGTAAGTGCTTTATTAGCAGTGGCCTGGAAGTGACATAGAAAGATTTGCAGCACTTCTGGAAGTAGTGAGACCTACTTACATTATCATTTCCTAAAGTGGTATCCAGCACAGGCTGTTCTGTGGGCATTAAAACATTTTTGCCTAAATGTAGATGATTTGTACTTCAATATGCTCACTGCTCATAAAGCTGATGGAATGGTCATCTTTGTAATGGCAGATGATCTCAGTAGAATTTACAAACAGATGAAGATTGTTTTGCTAATGTCCATGGGCCAGGTAGGCAGAATTTGGTCCCAGATGCTCTGCCTAATGTTCATGGTAAAAGGGACTTGAAAACAATGCCTCCATATGCCATAATTGCTGGAATTATTTCTTAGACATATTCCCTTGTCATCCTTCATATGTAGAGCTCATTAGATTCCTAGTGGGAGAACATATGGAAGGGGAAGATGATGGAAAACATTGTAAAACAGATTGTATATTTACATTTATATTATAAAAGACCTCTGTGCTCACAGCAACATGATGGGGAAAGTTTGGACTCATCCTTCCCACTTCATAATAGGATAAACATTTATACTGCTATAATCTCAGTGTTTTTAGAAGACACATAAACATACTGGGTGAAATGCTGGCCCCACTGACATCAATGGAAGTTTTGCCGTTGGCATCAGTTTTCCCAGGATTTTGTCCACCTTTTCTAAAGTCATAATCAAGTCATGCTCCTATAAATTGTTT